TAGTTAAATTCTTTTTCTTGTCCTTTCCTTCTCATCTGAACCCTCAAATGTACTACTCTTTAATTATAAGTTTTCCTTACTCTGTGTCTTAGTCACTCTGGTTTATTATTACTTGTTGATTCTTCTGATGATTATGTTGATCAAATCATGTCTGCTCATCTGATTAATAAAGTAACGAGAGACAGAAGCTTATCAACTCATCCACACCCTCTTTTAACAAATGATGAAATAATTGAGGTATTGAATTATAATAATTCATTTTAAAAACTTTTGTTTCTCCTCCTTTTCTCTCTCACTCAACAGATACTTTCATTTTGTTCCAGTATTGATGTTACAATACAATCAGATGCTCATCAGTTATTAACTAGTTATTATGTTGCTAGTAGGAGACTCAGAGGTAGTGACACTCCTCTCACTGCACTGAATACACTGTAAGTGTTGATCAATGTTTCAAAATGACAGCATAATGCCTTCATTTTACAAAAAAATTAACCTGTGAATGGCTACTGGATTGAAATTCATGTATAAATGATCTAATATGTATTTTATAATAATTATTATTTATTTCTCTCTCTCAGTATATCGTTGTCAGTATCACATGCTAAGCTAAATTTACAGAATATAGCTACAATCAATGATTCATTGTTATCAATATTAATATACGAACAATCACTGATACATAGATATGGTATGAGTTATTTTTATTGCCATTATTGTTAATATGTAGTACATTTTTTCCAGTGTATGTATGTAGAAAGTTTGAGCTGGTTCTCATCACAAATTTTTTGAATTGTGAGAAATATTTTTAAATTGTTCAAATTTTGGCTTGACTTTATGATTTGTTTGTTACCAAAATTGGCTTAATGTTCATAGCCTTAATTTACTATTTTTTCTTATTATTTCTAACGATAATAATTATTTTAATGTTCATAGCCTTAATTTACTATTTTTTCTTATTATTTTTAACGATAATAATTATTATTGTTATTGTTTATAGGTCATTCTGCTCTTTATATAAAGCCATTTTTACATTTCAAAGAGCAAGACTCAATTATTAATGTAAATTGAAAAAAGGAAATTTATCAATTTTTTCTTTTTCCCTATACCCTCTTTCCCTGTTCCACCTTCCCCCTCTCTCTCTCTTGCTATTATTTTAGTTTGATCATTATATGAAGGAGTTTAGTGTACAAGTTCATTCATTTATTAATAGTCACAGCTCTAATGTCCATATACAAACAGAAGAATAACTAATATTAATTATTACAGTATTATGCATAAGATGTACAGATCGAAGTGTTGTCTACAATATCATTTTTATTTCATGTACATGAATTATAACTTATGTATAATTGCATATCCTTTACACATGCAATCAAGTCAGAGTGAAACATGCATCTACAGGTGTATCTAGGTCAGAGCCATCATGTCAACACTGCAAAAAAATGTAGAAGAATTTAAGAATCTCTTGTTAAATACAATTGTAATGTACTTCCAAACCCTATTATATATAGTACATGAACTGGTTACTGGTATGCATTGTGTGTAAATTTATGTGTATGCCAGTGAGTAGGTAAAGAAAGTCCATATATTTCTCCTGTCATGTGTATTTCAATTCTTTTGTAATAAAATTTGAAAATTATATATATATATATACACCAAACTCTAACATGTACTGAGTAAGAACATTTTTAAAAATTTATATTTGCATAAAACAGAAATTTGCATAAAACAAATATAATTTTTATGTTTAAAGTTATATGTATATTGCACAACATATAATAATGCAGTACTAGGAGGCAAGTGAGAATTAAAAAGTAGAATCTGCAAAAAAATAAAGTTATTATATCAAATAAACAATGAATTACTGTCATTGGTTTTAAAAGTAGTATCTTGTGTGTGTGTTGTGTAGTACTTACCTGTGGTTGTACGTTGATGTTATTCTTGTTCACTATTTGGTGTCTAAAATGAAATAAACTATTGCATTAACACTATACAACATGGAATTTTCATCTATTTGATGCATCAAAATATTTAAATACCATATAGCAGAAAATTTTCACTGCCATAAAGTTTTATTGTCCATTCAAGCAGGCCTTACAAGATATTTTGTTGATTTTATTTTCATTGATTATGGTAACATCAATTATTATTCTTCACCCAGTCACGCTCACTTAGTTATATATTTTCATTTTTGTTCAGAATTTTGGCCAAAAAAACAAACAAAAATTAGGACTCAACAAAAATTTCCTGTTATATGATAACTCACAATCATTAATACATGCACATATAAACCAGTACTTACGTTTACTTCATAATTTCCCCACTGGCGTCCTGATTA